GCGAATCGAACCCTGAGCTACATCAAAGTGCACTCCAGAGAAAAATTGAAACGGTTCTCATCATCACTGCTGTGTATATACGTGGCAGTGAGATGAAAACAACCCTCGGAACCCAGGACGACGAAAAGAAAAACCAGAAAGCGAAATAAAGGGGGAAAGGAACGAACATGGCTTGTGATGTGCGAAAACATGGATGCTGGTGATTTTGTGTTATTTTCGAGATACTGTACCAACTTCTTAGGAGAGATACGTTCGCAAATATCCGAGCCTTTCATACACGTATTTACTTGAGTGCCAATACCTTTCCCACTTTTTCTCCAAATTGAGCACACACAAAAAAAGAAGCTTTTCTTCATATATAGGCGTGATGAAAATGTACGAGTGTAAGTGCATGGCTCACTCGAATCTAAAGGGATATTTTTGCTAAAATCCTACAGGGATGTGGTAAATGAAAACAAATTGCAAATGTATCGTAATCCGGACTAATTAATGTCCCGTTTTATTCTCTGGTAAATTCAATCTTTTGAAATATTGCAAATTTAAATTCACTAGAAGAATGGCATGCGCATCTTACTTGGGTACAGGATTTAGACAGTCTTTCAGGCCAAAAAATTCGAATTTAAGTCATATTTGAAGGTTCAAGTGTCGCACTCAGGTAATTCTGACATTCAGACTTTTTCCTAAAAGACCTGAGCAGAAATATATATCTTTATTTTAATGTTTCCTTTTCGGCTCTGAATGATTACGAAGTCTGTAATCGAAATTTATACTCGAATTTGCTTTATTTTTGCTTACACTTTTCAAGAATATGAAAAAATTGTATGCATGAATGTTGTGTACTTCGGTGGTCTGCATCTTGAAGACGAATTTAAGATCCTTGTCCATAAATTGGACTGTTCAAATCACGGTACAGTACCGGAATTTTCAAATTTCATGCTTGAAATTAATTTTAGAGAAAAAAGAAACTCGTTGTGCCTCGAACAAGCTTTTCCTCTCCAATTTCTATGCTTGGAATTTTCTGAAAACTTTGAGCTTTTTCCGAAGACTATAATGAAATCAAAGAGGAAGAAATATTCAAAATTGATGTTCTCAAAGGGATTTGAGGGAATATTTAGATAACTTTACCATTGCTTTTGAAGTTTTTAATCCTGTTCAAAATGCATTTAAAATGCAGTCTGATGCCCGAAAGATAATGATTCTATCACCTTTTATTTGTTTCAAATTTCCCTTCAAAATAAGTGCAAAAGTTAAATAAAGTCATTCAGGAAAATAAAATAATTTTATCTCACCTCAACCGGAGAAGAGCACTTGATGTTCATCGGCTGCAAAAACTTGTGCTTTTGATTTCCACTCAGCTCCTTGGCCAAAACCAAAATAGACTCATTTTCACAGGCCCATTCATTTCTTCTCAAGTCCAGTGACTCAAGATTTCCCAGAAGCTCGAAAAAGACAGTGCCAAGGAATTTAAGACCATTGTTGGACAAGTCCAAGGATCTCACGTTGCTCAGGTCTTTCAACATTTCCTCACTTTCGATAATGGTTTTGGATAAGCCTGGACTTCCTCTGAGTTCCAGTTCTTCTAGTCGTTCCAAGGACGAAAAGATTCTTTGGTTTTCCACAGAAACATTCCGGCTTTTGATGCCACCCATCTTGAGCACCTGTGAAAAAAAGGTAGAAAGACAATTTTGAATTTCAAGAGAAGAAAGGAATGAATTGCTTCAGTTCACTTTCAAATTGCCTTATGATCATCATTGGAAACATATATGACGCAAAAATTAATCAAGAAAGTGAATTCTTTCGTATTCCTATCATGTATGAATTATTGAACTTATATATTTTGAATGCAATATTTTTAGAACTGGAACGGAACGAAGTGATCATAGAATCGAAAACTAAAGAAAAATTTTTTTGGAAAGGAGAATTATTCAAATTCGTTCGAACTCTTTGTCATCCCTTTTTGATAAAAAAAAACTGCATTGATGCTCAAAGATACAGATATAATTGGTTCTTGGACATTATTTTTCCTAATTCAAAATTCAGAATGTTTTCATCAAGCCATTCCATGAATGGAATTCAGTTAGAAGTCTTAGAAGTTAGAGCATATGAAAAATTCTTCGAAAAACGGAATGAAAACGTTGTTATTCTGAACTTCAAAACAAAGAGAAGAACTGTGCAGAAGAAAGCCACACACACAATCTGCCATTTTTGGCATGAAAAGGACCCCAAAAAGCAAATTACAAACGCATATATCCTGAGTACAATATACAGATGATGGAAAATATTCTCAAAAAGAGGAAAAAAATTGAAACCATTTTATAGTAAGATTAAATTTGAATTTTTGTGAATATAAATTGCTCAATTTTTTGGCATAGATATCAAAATTTTGAAGAATTAAACTTCTCCTTTTTCAATAATTTTGGAAAAGTGTATAAGTGAAGACTGTTGATATACAGTATTAATGGGCAGCCTTTTCGCCTATTCAAATTTTCCCAAGTCGCATTGTCCATATTTCCGGGCGTCCGTAAGTCGGGGAACGGCTGAAATATATATAACTTCCAAAAGACGGGAAAACCTTGTTAGCCAGGGCACTGCTGGTAGTCTTCCATTGTTCATTAACAATAAATGTCCACACCTATGGAGAATCCAGAGCCCCTATCGCTATATATACGGAATTCAATGCCTTATTGTGAGTGCCGAGTCGAATCGCAATTGGCACAAAAGGGACAACTGCACAATACCCCCTTTCAAGATTCGGAGTACAGTGTTGTATCATAGGCTTGAGCATTTCTACTGAGCAAACTTGGTATACGAGTCTATAGAGAATCCATGGTCCTTTTACGAATGACTACATTATTCCATTAGGCTGAAGCGGATTACGGCTGAAGAGGCGATTATTTCTTAGTGTCTGCCGGAAATATTTCCTAGATGGGCTTCAGGAGTTCAACTTCCGGAATAAACTAATTTAAATTTGCATTTCAAAAACTATGAATTCTCTAGGGAATGTGATTCTTTGCATACAGGAAATGTTTGTTTTCTATGTAAATGTCAAGTTTTTATGCTGGAGGAAATGTCTTTTCATATTTCGGAGTGGCTTCAGTTGAGGGGGATTTTCCAATTCAATCGGAGGTATATGGCATTAATCAGCTGCGCATAACCTTCAATTTGTTTAATTCATGGCCTTTTTTCTCCTATGATGGCTTTTTGTGAAATTGTTCCTAAAAGATTTTTCCGAAGCAAAGGGGGAAAATATTGAAAAGTAGTTTTAAGCCAAGGTGAATTGAATAAGTTATTCCACTTCAAGCTCCACATGGACCGATTCATTAGATTATATTTTTTGCCCATCAAGTTGAGGGATAATCATGATTTTGTTCCAGACAAAATTAAAAAATACAGTACAGTTAGGCCCCCACATGCAAAAACCTTCACTTGAGGACATGCTGACACATATTTTCCTATACAAATGCACACACAAAACTGAACATGTGGACACTGACTTGACATGCGGTCCTTATGTGCTGGAATTGCAAATTAGTTTCAGGCCAAATTGCTAAAACCAGATATTTCCAGCCCTAAGATCTATGTAAAGCTATTTGGCATTTATTTGATCCTTTCCACCATTTATTCAGAGCTAAATTTAAAAAATTACGTACACCCTAGAGGGACTTCCTTCTCTATTTTTGACTAGAATTTTATTTTTACAGAGAATACCAGCACTTCAGTGTTCCTTACATATAGGGACAGTAATCAGCAGTGCACCAATCACTCTATGTAGTTGAAGGATATTAATTGAATTGGTTTCAGCTGGCAGAAAATGCTTTCCATGATATCTCGCGGAATTCCAATAAATATTTCATCCATAAAAACACCAATTGCAAAAGGTATAATGCAAATCTGATGGAAAATGTGACTAAACTTATGGACATTTTGACTTTGGGGCACTCTGCGCCATTTCAGTCAGTATTGATCGTCCTTGATATCTCAAAGTCGACATCAAAAATCATACCGGGATCCATATACATTTTCTCCAGCGTAGATGAGCATCGAATAATTGTGTCACTATAGCATAAGTTACCGCTCTAATGACGATTTCGCCGCCGAAGTCCTCATGACAGCAGTGTGATTATATAGGATACGAATACCTTATGCAGTTTATACATCTTTAAAGTCCATGTCACTCATATGTTGAGTGATGCAGCACACGATGAAATTCACGTGGAACAAGTATAGAGAGCGGTTTAACAGGAAGCATTTTGATTGATGCTTGATGATGGACATCATGGTGAAGCAGCAAAGTAATGTACAGGGGACTTTTCAAGGGAGAAAGGGAACATACTAAAATTGTGTCTTCAAATCTGTGTATCTTACATACAAGTGTTGCTATCATTTGAGTTGTCCTTCGGTATTTTTTGCGTTAGTATGATCATAAAAAATGTGTAATACAGTCTAATGATGTTTCAAGGCTCTGGGATTTTTCAAGAGCATTTTTAAATCAAATTTCAAGTTACTGCATGACAATAAGTGAAAAATTTCCAGTTTCTGCCACAGGTTTCCACACATGCTACAAGGCTTTAAAGATGTGTCTGCCAAGCTAACAAAGTGAACTGTGTGTGCTGTTTTAGTCATTGTCTTTTCTACACTTTGTGCAATTTTGGAAAATTTTCAGTCATATTTTTATTCAGAACAACAATAAAAAAAGAAAATTGGCTAAATGTTCTCAATAGCATAGGTCTGTTTCCAAATGTTCTCTTGAATTTTTTTCTTCAAAAATATCTTCCAAGGTATGCTTTCTGCGAGAGATTTTTTCCTTAGTCCTGAAAAACCCAAGGTTGAACCCATCAAAATCATTTCCTAAATTTATGTTAGTGTTTTATGAAATTATTTTGGAGTAAGTTACAAAAATTCTCTGAGTTTAATTATATGCGGGGTTGAAACAAAATAAGTCCCAATTCTTTTTGGAGCTTCTATATATGAAGAGGCTCCCAGCCAGTCCCAGCAGGCTGATTATTGGCTTTACTTACAATTTTAATCACTGTTCTTTGCTAGGGAACTTCTGAACCCTATATTTCAGGCTGAAAGAGCACTTCCATATGTTTCACAATTCTTGAGGGACTTTGGGCTGAAACTAAAAAAAAAATTACACATGTAAAATGTTCACATCTTCGTGACCAGTTAGCAAGGTCCAGCTGTGTATGGGAGATCATGAAATCTCAACTGGATTTTGAAGACACCCCTGGTCGAACAACAGCGTGTATGTCATTAAAATAACGCATTATAGACGACGAAGCTTCAGCAACAGCAGCAACGGGTGTCTGCAATGTGCTTCCGGGTGAATGTTCCTGTGCGATGAAGAGAGATAGAACAGCGATGCTCGAGGGCTCTCGGTTTTTGAAGGCAACCCCGAACCCAGTATATGCAGGGTAAGGTTGATGAAAAGGCCCCTGCTTTGGGTGTCAGGGGTGTCATCAAAGGAGATGCCCTCGCTTCAAAAGCATGCTGGTCGAGCCAGAAGTCTAAACCTGCAGCATTTTGGTCTTTGAAGCGTGGCCTGGGACAAAAGAACCCCCTATTTCAATGGTCTGTAATCTGGAAAGCTTAGGTTTAATTTAGTCCCGAGAGAAGAGAAGACCGCAGAATGCGTCCCTCGTCAGCAGCAGTTGAAGAAAATTCCAGCCTTCGTAGTCTGAATAATAATTCTCTCTCCCACACGCGGAGAAACGGGAGCAAATGTTCAAAATGGAAACAAGAACAAAAAACGTTTTAGAAAGTGTCTAAATCACCGCAGTCATTATTTTCATCCCACTAAAATTGAAAAAAAACCTATTCCCTGCATGATGACACTTCAGCGGTTACCCCGGAGCATCAAGTCTGACTCGCAAAACTATTTGTTATTCCATATTTTCATTCCCTCAAGTTCCATCTGAATTTCATTTAAGTTCTGAGTGCAATTTTGAGCAAGAAGTTAACTTTTAGGACTTCTACGCTGCATATGGAAAATATTTCAGGCGAGGAGTTCGATAAATTGAAAAATACATTTCCACGAATAAACACCACGCAAAAACAGCAGCACTTTTCGAATGAAACCCTTCCTCTCTTTTCAAAAGTAATATTCGGAGACTGATTTAATCCTGTGAATATGATGCAGTGTGCTGTATTCGTTCAGCACTTCTGCATATATAATCGGATATCACAATAATGCTTTTTCCGAGAACGTTAGAAAACATACGTAACTTTTAAAGATAGTTTTTGATGGCCCAGGGGTGGGTTTGTATTTTTATTGTCGGCAGTTTCTGCCGAATTGTAAAGTTTCAAACTTTTGGGACCCTGTCAAAGGGATATCTTGCAGCTGGAGACGCGTCCCGAGACGCGTCAATCGTGCGAAAAAACTCTGGATCTGTTTTCTTCAGAAAAAATTCCGCACAGCATGGGTGGACCAAGCAATGCCTAAAAATCCAGATCTGGTCCAGAGATAAAAAATGTACATTCCTGTCATGACATTTGAAGTATTTCCTTGGGGACTGTGTTTGTCCAGAACATTTTTGGTGTCTGTAAGGCACTGGACGGGGGTGGGGCGGGGGGGCATAAGTGAATTTTCGAATTTCGATTGGATTGGAGTCTCTGTCACAGCTTGTGTTCTTGAGAGCTCTGTTTTGTGGATAAGGAGGTGCAGCAATTTTACCAGCAAATCCATGATACCTTTCACAGTGTGCCCACATTCCCAAAATTCACAGGAAAATTTGGAAGTGAAATGAAAAGTTGACAAGTGGGATATTGCAATGCTCCCAGTAAGTATTTTTTTTTTTGACCATGGCAGGATTTTTTTGAATTGCTTTTTCCACCCAGGCCTGATTCTTCCCACTTATCTTACAATGATAATTTTCAGTGATCTGGTTGGGTGCTTGTCTGGTGGCACGATTTCCTGCATCCTGGGCTTTTGTGCACATGCACATCCAGGATTTTTGTGTTTCCTGCTGGTTTTCACCTACAGGTAGGATCTTGTGGGCTTTTTTTTTCCGATCTGTGATTATCTTGGATTTTTTCTCTGGTACACTGCTGTGGGTTGTCCTAATGTCTTAATATCAAGGTTATTTTTTGAAGGTTTTACAGACAGCATCTAAATATTGGGAAAGTTGCTTGACAACATTCTTTTCTGAAAGTGTTCATTACTATGGTTTTTGTGTCAGCTCGACGGCAATTATAGGGCAAAAAAATGAAAAAAAAAAACATTTGAAAGATCAGCATTGAATAAGCTCTCATTTGTAGTTTTTCTCTTTGTTGTTCATTAAATTTTAGCTGAGATATGCTCATTCGAAAATTGGTTCACTTTTTTGGCCCACCCTGCAGTTGAGTTAATTAAATGAATATAGTAAATAATCTACCATGTGCTTCAAGGTGAACAGCAGCAATACTTGATCTCGGTGAATAAACCCTTGATTGCAATATATATATATATAAGCTGGGGGTACACGAGTGTATATATATATATATATATAAATGCCGCACCTTGAGACTGATGAAAGGCTGGAAGCAGTTGGAAAGCTTAATCAACGGATTCAAGGAGATGTCCAGTCGCTGGAGGGCCTCGAGTCCAGCGAAGCTCTGCCACTCGAATGACGTGATGCTGTTGCCGACCAGGTTCAGGGTTCGCAGGGAAGCCAAAGACCGGAAGGCGTCCGGGGCCACGTGGCTGATTAGATTCCGCCGCAGGAACAGGGCCTCCAGTGCCACCAGGCCAGGAAATGAGTCTGCTTCCAAAGTCTGGATCAGGTTTTCCTCGAGGTACAGCACTTTCAGGGCCTTGGGTAAGCTGCCAGGGACCGAGGTGAGATGGTTGTTGTTGAGCCAGATCTGCTTCAGCTCCTCGTGTCTACCGAAGGCGTCATCTTCAATCTGTAAAGAAAGAAAAGAAAAAAGAGAAACAGGGAACCTTTTGTCAATATTATGCTCGACTGTTCAATTTATCATGTACTGTACATAGAGAAATACTGCACGTCTGATTATAATACTGTTGAGAGCTCGTCCTCAGAGTTCAACTAAGAAGTGGTTTCATTATAGGAATAAAAGTTGACAACAATCAGCCTGGGATGAGTCAGGAAATTTCATGCAAATGTTCCCAGCTGGATTTCATTTTACTTCTGGCCCAATTTCAAGAATGAAAGTTGATTCAATTCAAGCCTATCATGCACCAAATCAACAAAGTATATAGAGTAAGTGCAAAAAAGTTTGTTCATATTTTTCAGCACCATAAGTGAGTGAACACTTGCGGTTATTATGTGATTATTAGTGCTTTAGGAATTTCATTATTCTTGACCTTTTATAAGTTTTTTGTGAGAATTATTCCAATGCGCTGGGGTAATTTTTTATTAAAATGCTGCAGTAGATTTTCAGTAAAATTTCAATTTCTGTTTTCTGAAATAAAGCTGAATAAATTTTTATGAGACTTTCATGTCTCTTGAAATTCGAAATTTTCTGGTAAAAAATTTGACCTTTTTGAGCATGCAAAATGCTCAGAATAAATCTAAAAATAATGTACAGAATGTATTTGTTCAGTATAGTGCTGTGTTTGGAAAAAAATAGTTTCATCAAGTCTGCATGATGTACAGAAATCAGAGGTAGTTCCTGTCAATTTTGGACATGTACATTATTCCTAATATTTTTTTTCTTCTTTTCAGATGAGGCTCCTCAACTGCTGTTAAGATGCAAGAGTAATTTCAAGTTGATGAAACATTTGAAATATTCACCTTAGAAATATTATTGTCGTCCAAAACCAAAAGAGTCAGATGAGGGAAGCTTTCGAAGTCCCCGAGCCGAATTTTTTGGTTGGGTAAGACCGGGTCAGAGTCCAGGGAGTGCGGTCCGCATTGACTGGACCCATGAGCGACGTTGGGTCACCTGCTGTATAGGTTTTTGACGTTAAATAAGTACCGGTTAGGGCGTGGCCCAAGGATCAAAGCATTCTGCGCCAAAATCAGCCTCGACAGAGATTTCAGGCCATTGAAAGCATCCGGTGGAACACTGGTCAAATTATTGGCAGCCACGTTCAAATACCGCAGACTGACGAGCCCTAAGAACGCGTTAGGATCGATTGATCGTAAACAGTTTTTCCGAAGCGACAAATGTTCCAGTGCTGGCAAACCCAGGAATGTCCTGGCACCAATTGTGGAGATCCCATTAGAAGACAAGTCCAAAGTTCTGAGGGAACCCAGACCCAAGAAAGCCCCGTCTTGGAGCGAAACCAGGGACGGGTTACGGGTGATGTCCAGGTGTTCCAGGCGTGGAAGTGAAGCCCATGTCCTGGCAGATATCGACTCCAAGTTGCAGTCTTCAATAACTAGGTCTGTTACTGAGTTCAAGTGGTCCCAGTCCATAGACGACGTGGATTGCAAAATAAATTTGCGGAGTTTCAGGCCTTGGGTTGAGTCAGGAATTTGCGAAAGGTCCAGAATCTGGTCTCCCAGAGGTCGTGTCCAGTTTACGCGACCCCTGAGCGTTTTTGTCCAAAGACCCGTAAGACAGTGTGGACGAAGGGGCTTACACGAAGGATATAAGGTGTCGTGACTAGGTTAATGGTAGTATTTGTTAGATAAACACTTTTTCATCCCCATTATCAACAGCTTTCAAGCTTTGAATAAGGGGTTCTGCGGAGTTGAAGAAATAAAACCAAATGTTATTCCTTCTGACGGCACTGAGTGATAACTCACATCATTGCCGACTCCATGAAATTAAACAAAAGAAGAAACACAAAAAAATCTCAGCTCCAGATTCCGAAGGAAGTTTTTGGCATATGCATCTTTTTTTTTAGTTTTCAGTTAGTGAGATGAAATCAAGTACTTCACGTAAAGCTGTACTTTAGCAATGATACTCTGCATAACAAAAGAACCAAATTAAGAAAAACACAATACTAATGCATTACTATTTGCATCATCTAACATCCCCTTGATATATGATACTGTAACTATTTTGACAAATTCATGGCACTTTAGTACAAAATTCATCAAATTTTCAAAAGTGTCTAAATGGTGTAACTCCTGCAGCATAAATATATTAGTTTGTGCATCACCAGAGCACCTTCTCTTCTTATGTCCAGTATTTCATACTGATAGAAACTAGCTTTAAAAAGATTTACAAGTATTGGAATTCTGTGAAGAGACCCTCTCTGGAATCTTGAATGATCAAGATAAACTGTTGGCCTTATAGGATTTCTCATCAAAGATTCTCTCTAATTTGTTCATTCAACAAAACCTCATACAGAAACAAGCTGAAGACCTTGTGCTTTGAATTAATTTTTACATATATTAGTCTCCAGCACAGGTCAAATGCGCTGGGGACTCGCAAAAACAGGTTTCTGGGCATTCTGTCACACCTGCTTCCCCGAATGTGCTTCCTATATTCCACAGCACTGATCCAATTACCATCATAAACAATAATAAACACTTTTTCATCCCCATTATCAACAGCTTTCAAGCTTTCAATAAGGGGTTCTGCGGAGTTGAAAACATCAAACCAAATGTTATTCCTACTGACGGCACTGATAGCTCACATCATTCCTGACTCCATGAAATTAAACAAACGAAGAAACGCAAAAAATCTCAGCTCCAGATTCCGAAGGAAGTTTTTGGCATGCATCTTTTTTTCAGTTTTCAATTAGTGAGATGAAATCAAGTACTTCACGTAAAGCTGTACTTTAGCAATGATACCCTGCATGACAAAAGAACCAAATTAAAAAAAAAAACACAATACTAATGCATTACTATTTGCATCATCTAACATCCACTTAATATATGATACTGTAACTATTTTGACAAATTCATGGCACTTTAGTACAAAATTCATCAAATTTTCAGAAGTGTCTAAGTGGTGTAACTCCTGCAGCATAAATATATTAGTTTGTGAATCACCAGAGCACCTTTTCTTGTTATGTCCAGCATTTCATACTGATAGAAACTAGCTTTAAAAAAATTTACAAGTATTGGAATTCTGTGAAGAGACCCTTTCTGGAATCTTGAAGGATCAAGATAAACTGTTGGCCTTATAGGATTTCTCATCAAAGATTCTCTCTAATTTGTTCATTCAACAAAACCTCATACAGAAACAAGCTGAAGACCTTGTGCTTTGAATTAATTTTTACATATATTTTGTTACCAATGTCAGGAAATGAATGGGTGTATGCATAAATATCAGATGTCAAGTTGAATATCATGGATTGTATTTTCTTTTATTTTTGTTAGAATTTTGTGCTCTGTTTCCTGCTCTGAAGTGATTAAATGTCATGGAGTGGATTTGGGTGGGGTGGGAAGGGGTTTGGTTGTGGAAATCTTGATTGAGCCTTGTGAATGCTGAAAAGTGGCAAATAAAGTGTTCTGTTCATTCATTCATTCATTCATTCATAGAAAAAAATGCGCAAGACAACATATTTTAGACATGTGCATGCAGTTGGATCATGTTTTTGCATGGTCAGTTGGATAAGCAGTTGGAAATATGCAAGGTTTGAGTTTTTTCTTTAAATTTCAAGCGCAAAAAAATGTATGCTGCAGTGTCGTTTTTCAAATCATCAACAAATATTATTTAATTGCAGCAGACCATACAATTTGAAATTTGACAGTGGAAGTACTGTACGTGCCTTTTTAAAATTGTTTATTGATTGTATCTGCCACGTTTTTTTCCCTACTATTGCTACTGAAATATAATTGACTGACTCCGTCTCGGCTTAATGCTCTGATAAATGTCAGGGTGGAACTCAGATTCTGTTTCTTTCACTTTGATAATAAAAATAGCTTTTCATGCGTTACTTCGGGGACGAAGGAGTGTGAGGGAAGAAGGATTAAAAAGAAGGATAGATTCGATAGCTCTGATCGGCGACTTTTATAGAGAAAGGATCATTAGGGAGCGAGAGGAAACATGGCCGAGGATGTTGAATGAAAATTTCACGCGAGAAGGCAAAGAGCTCGAATAAAAAATGATCCCCATAGTAGCACCGACAACAATCCCTTTTGAAATACGGCGCTTTTCATGAAAGAGCCTCGAAGTGTAGCCAGTTTTTTTCTTTTTCTTTTTAATCGTCTTGCAATTTTTCTTCTCAAAATTTCTTCACGAAATGGCCATAACCGAGCGTTGCGTGATTATTCCAGCTTCCCGGCAAAAAAACTTTATTTTTTATTTCAGAACATAAATAAAAAAGCTTTTGATTACGGGAATTTGATTTTCATAAATTTATAATTTCAGCTAGGAAAAAATTTTGCTCAAATTGATCGAAAATATAAAGGTTTGAAGCCCCGGAATCAGAGTGCACGCTTTTCTTGGGTAATTTCTAATTTGTTATTTGAAATTCATGGATATTTTGTTAGTGTATTTCAGAACCACGTTCAGAACCTCCTCTTTTATGAAAGAAAGCTTGAAAAGCGTCGTCCTAGAAGAGTTATTTGGACTCGATGTGCGTTAAGAAATCGATGAATCAAGAAGGAAAAGGGCGAGGTTGGTTTTTTTGCTACGAAAATGGATGAGCCTTATCCAAGGAATTTTTTTCTCCTTTCCTTTCTGCGCTGCTGCGTGGTTCAATAGAATGTTTCAGTTCTTCACATTTTGCTGATGTGGCAGTATATTCCCTCATTGGAGGCCGCCATGAGCCTTTTTCAATTTTCTGCGATCAGCGCCGGAAACTGCTGGGTCATTTTTCAAGCCCAGGCCCGAGATTTATTATTTCTCCGGCTTTTTCGGTCCAGCATCTTATATATCCCTCTATTCCAGGGGATTTTTATTCCGGTTTTTTTTTTCTCTCAGCTCAGATCTTGAGCTTGTTCTGTTCCCCATACTCCCGTTTTTCCCATGGGAAAAAAGAAGGGTGTGGAGGAATTTGGAATTTTTTTCAGAGTTCCAGCAGAAGTTTGATCCTCAGGCCTGAAGGAAGGAGGAGGAAAGTTGGAGAGGGGCAATTTTTTTTCGTGTGTCACGCTACTCGGGAGAGTAATTCGGAAATTTTTCCGCAGCTGTCGAAGTTCTTAGACTGGCTGATTCGTATTTGTATTGTTGTTTTTCTTGCAAAACGCTGTATCAAAATAAAGAGAGGGAGACGAGAGAAAGGAGAAATCTGTCTCAATATATGAGGCAGAGAAAGTACCTTCGGCCCTTTTTTTTCATCTCGTGCCGTGAGAAATAAAACTGTACCTGGTTTTCAGGCTTTACGGTGCTGGCTTTCAAACCAAGGATCTACATTATATTTTCTTTGATCGTTTCACTGCGATGAAGTGGAAGGAATTCCCAGAGATCTCGATTTTGAATAATTTTCCCCCTATTCATAATCGTGACAATTTTTTTATCCAATTTTGACAAACAGAGAATTTTGCATTCTCAATGGCAAAAAATAGAACTTTTAATCCCGTAATGAGTTAACAATCCTTGAGAACGATGTGAGAAAATGGTTTGCAATATATGCTCTCATCAATATAGTCCAAATTAGAAACTCCCTTATTGCTGTTGTCACATTTGTCATATTTATCTGTAAATGATTCTCTTCTCATAGTTTTTACATTTATACTTCTATGTAAACCTTGGTGAGATTATTGTGGATATTACCAAAAGTTATTGCTCATCCAGGATTAAGGTCTTCTGGTTTCCTCAAGACATGAAAACAAAAATAAACCATGCATTCATCATGTTGATGTGCAGTAGTACATTTTGAAAAGTACTTTCTTTCTTTTTAATTTCCACATCATACAACCTCTTTGTCTATTTTCCATTATGATTAAATTGAATATTTTTGGATGAATGTAGCTGAGGAGGGGAGGGGTTGTTTGGGTGTGGGGACATTGCTCAAACCTTGTGATTGCTGAAAAGTAAAAAAAAGCACACTGTTCGATTCAATTCAATATTGCAGAAAAATATGCAACAATTGAGTCCTATAATTAAGCAAAGCATTGCATAACGCCCTAGTTTCTTCAGCAGGGAATTTTTCTTGGATATTTTGCACCAGAAGCAGAAGAATTATGTCCCACTCAGCATCAAGAATTATATACTGAGTTGAACACTGGACCTCTTCTGTTCACCAATTGATTCACAGAAATTATTGGAGGCTACCCAGCAGTATCATTCCACCATCCCCAAAAAATGAGCGTTAAACCCCATAAATGTTCAGGGAAAAGCTGTGCAATCCCTTTTTTGTACTGCCAGCTGATGAGTCTCCAAAACTTAGATAGCCTTACCCTTGCATTATAATGTACTACACGTGGGGACTTCTTCTCATCAGCAGTATGTCTTTTCAAAATCAACCCTATAATGTTGAATGAATTCCTCATACAATTTTTCAGGAGAGAGACTGGTGAAGGGTATCATAATGCAAGTTTTCTGTAATAATCTGAAGACTATATTATGCAAGTATAGCACGTTATAGATGAAATAGCGCAGTATTATTTTTTTAGTACAAGTTGAGGTAGCTCAAAAGAACACGGCTTTGAATTGAATTTGTCTTCACTTGCGGCAGGTAAAATTGTTTTGATAACAACATTTTGTCCATTGTATGTGTTGCCCTTTTTGTTAGAAGATCAGAAGAATTTTTAAACTGATGGTCACCCATTACAGCCAGTTTTTTAACCATTCAATTGGGCTTTTTGCATTTTCAAAACATTTCTCATGCAGTAATTTAACGTTTCTACATACATTGCTAAAACAAGAACATTCTTATGTCTTTTGAACCACTATTGGAGGGTAAAATGCTTCAAATGCAAC